AAAAATGTTCCAACATGATAGGGCACCTGGGTGGCTCAGTTGGTTGAGCATCTGCCTTTGGCTCACGTCATGATCTCAGGGTTCTGGGATCCAGCCCCATGTCAGTCTCCCTGCTCAGCAGGGAGTCTGCTTCTCCCTCTGCCTCCCTCCAGCACTGCTTGTGCTCACGCTTTCTCTCAAATAAAAAAATAAATAAAATCTTCTTTTTAAAAATGTTCCTACATGCAAGTAGGCAAAAGAAAAATCTGAAAGTTTATTTTTTATTGACTTACACCTGTAATTGACACAACTGGAAAGACTATCCAGAACCAAATGGTTCATGTGGGAGCTATACCTACGTGAGCTCCCCTTCATATCATACACACACACACACACACACACACACACACACCAGTCCCATGGGTGGTTCTGTGATACCAGGTAGGTCTGAAAACCTCATCGCCCTGGCCACATGGACTAACAGAAAGAATAATCACAAGTTCCAAGCTAGACTAACCAGAGTCACTGGTTAGTTTTTAAATTGGAACATGAGGAAGGCTCGCTATCCGCTTAGCTGCATAACTCTTAGATATGACAGCCATTTACCCATTTAAAGGAATAAGCCAATTTGATGAGGTCAATATCCAAAGGAGTATGGGGAGAAAGACTTCAAACCTCCAATTCCAGTCATTCTTGGAACCAACTCTACCCTTATGTTTCCTGTGGTCTGGTGATTAAGCCAATAATTCCCACCCCCTCGCCCCCAGCTGAATTGAGTTTGAGTTAGATTTGTATCATCTGCAATACCGAGGATCCTATCTACTACAATATTCATAAGATTCCAACTAGCCTAACAGGACCGAGAGAAAGCAGGTCATAAAAGGGAAAAAATCACTACCCCACCCTACAAAAGATGTGAATAGAATCTCTCTCCAGCAGTGAGGCACCTGGATGGCTCAGCTGGTTGAGTGGTGAACTCTTGGTTTTGACTCAGATCATGATCTTAGGGATCTGGGATCAAGCCCTATGTGGGGCTCTGTGCTCAGCATGTAGTCTGCTGGAGATTCTCTCCTTCTGCCTCTCCCCCCCCCACACACACTTTTGCTCTCTCTCTATGTCTCTAAACAAATCATAAAAAAGAATCTCTTTCCAGCATTATTTAAGAATGACGGTGATACCTCCAAAAAAGAGCGAAGTCTTTCTGCCCTAATCGCCTAAGCTCCATAGGACTGACACATTCAAAACTATATTCCTAGAACTATCACAGTACCTGGCACATATTAAGTGGTTGAAACACCCTCCACTATAATTTTCATAGTACAAAAAAAATTTCATAAGTACACAGAAAAAAAATAGGTAAAACACCAAATATAACTTACTAAAATGAAGATTCAAGTTCCCTAAGGAAACCTTAGACATGTCATTTCACCTTCTTAGGATTAAATTGCCCTTTTGCCATATATATGATCAATTACCTCTTTGGTCTTTTTTTTAACCATAAAGTGCTATGACTCTATACATACCAACAATGGTAAATAATAGTCTACTAAAAACCTGAACATGTAGATAAAAGAAGGAAACACAGTAATAAAGAAGGCATCACAAGAATAATCAGAAAGAATAGCCCACCCAAAAGATAGTTTTGGGGAGAAGCAAAAGAAAAAGGATGAGAGGAAAACACCAGTGATGGGATCGAAGAGGTCATTCCCATGTGGCATCTTGCGATTTGCTTCCTATTTTACTCCAATTAATCTCTGTGGTCAAAAAGCCCTCTGTGTTGGCCCCAAACTGCCAGCCCCAGGATCTTGTCCCTTCCCGGGTCCATACATTCCATATGATGACTCCTTCACCTAAACCATGCATCTCCTTTCAGCACTGGCTTCCCACTTCTGTCTCTGGTCCTCGAAATTCCCACTTGTTCACACCACTGCGGACAGGTTGGATTTTGTTTGTTTGTTTGTTTCGTCACCAACAGAATATATACCCAATTATATTGTGTGCCTTACGTCCCTATTTCCCATCCTGTCCCCTACCTTGACTGATGCCCAAATGTCCATAAAATTTTCCACTGATTTGTTAGGTTTGGAACTTTGGATTCGGTCCTGACGCCTGTAATCACAAAATAGCATCTCTATAAAATAAGGTGACCCGTTTACAATGACCTGCTCTAAGGAACTGACCTCAGATCCTTTCATGAAAGAAGGCCTTGATTCGGGAAAACAGTGTTATTACAACTAACAACTGATGTTAAGTATTACTACGTACCTGTGCATTACACTATGTGTAGATACTGCACTAAGCATTTTGCACACATTTGTTCATTTTGTTCTCACGATACCTCTATTAGAGAAGCACTAATTTCCACCTATACTTCAAAGGTGAAGAATCTGAGGCTCAGAAGGGGTAACTTACTTCCGGTTACATAGCTAGTAAGGGCCACTCTTGGTTGCACACAAGAGCCATATCCATCTGAATCTGGAATCCTTGCTCTTGCTCACTACATGACTTACAGAGGCACTAATCCCTGTGACAAATGGGGAGGCAGACCTTCAAGGAGGCCAAAAGCAAAGAGACCGGGGAACTAAAATCAACATGATCTACTTCTTGATTTTGCTTAGAGTCAGCCCTATTTGAAGAACCTTGTTCCTATTATGTAGCAATAGATTATCTGCCATTTTGCATTGTGGAAATGTACCCTCCATTATCCAGGCTAATCTGGTTGCCTTCAGAATGCTGTACACAGGCATTCCAATGACACACCACTAATTCAATCTTCTCTGTGAGGAAGATGCTACTGGACATCCCTTCAACTTTTTCCCTACAACTTTCAATGCAGGGTGCCTCACATAACCCATAACCCTTCTCTCCTACAATGCCTAGAGCAAAGGAAGTAATTTAGAATACCAGGAAGGAGACAGAGGGTAAAGAAGGAAAAAGAATTAAAAGAGTGGTGACCGACCCCTGACCCCCCCCAAAAAAACCTACTATGAAAATTGAAAATTAAAAATTAAAAAAAAAAAGCAACCCAGTGCAGGATGATCATCTGATAACTTGTGATTCAGAGAGAAATAAATGTCCATGGTCCATCACTAAACAGAGAAATGCATCTTACTGTGCAACAGAAACTGTACGTTCAAATAACCACATAAGAATTTTCCTACATCACAGAGTAGAGAAATACTGAGTATCTCCTATAGGAGTGAGATCTTATTGCTATAATCCATGTAGCAGAAGGTCTATAGCAGAAGCAGCATCTCATCACGAAGCAAAAATCCAATCACTTTCAGGTTCCAGAATCTCTAGTTCTTCCAAAACTCCTCCTCTATCCATTGAGACTCTTACAGATATTGGTGGAATTGAATGCCAATCCCTACTGAAGAGTCATCTGATGTTTCTATGTGATAATCAAAGTCTCTAGTTTTACTGAAATGGAAGCTGAGAATCGGACTAGCAAACTCCTTTGGATCGGTCAGTAATTAATACGTAAAGGTCTAAGTACTGAAAGTACAATCTGGGGTAAAATGCAGCATAGATGATTGTCTCTCATTTGTTGGGAAGTTTGAAAGTAATAACTAATTGAAAAATTGTTTTAAGCTAAAAGAGAGGGGCAAGACCTAAAACATTTCATTTTTAAAAGTAAAGGGTCCTAAAAATATGCTTAAGGAGGGAGCCTCATGCCTTCATTCCATGTCCAACCAGCTTCCTATTGTAACCAATTTCCATTACCCAGGGAAAAGAGCAGGGAGGAGAGAAAGTATTTGAAAAACTGCCAGAGTAAAAAATCCCATAATGAAATTTTGCTCATTCTTGGAGAAATGAAGTAGAATTAGATGCTTCAGCGGTGGTGAATTTCAGAATCTGGGTAGCTTCCAGTAAATGAAGTTCTTCCATAATGTCAAATGCAAAAGCTATCTGATATCAACATATTGAGCTTGAGTTTTTAAATTCCTATTTCCTTACACCAAATTGTTTGAAACCTTTGAGATAAAAACTTCAATAAACTAGTGTTCCAAGCTTTTAATATTTTAGTCCCTTGAGCAAGCATGTCAGATTAATCTTCAAATTGCAATGGGCAGAAAGAACATTCAACCAAACTCTTAAGCCCATGCCTCTCTCAAAGGATGTTAATAATGTAAGCAGTTTCATTGGCTATTAAGATTTCAAACTTTCCTAATTCTCAGCACTATTACTATTTAAGAGCAGGGGGTATGGGGGAGAGAAAACCATCTACCCTGAAAGGAAGGGATCTTACTTATTTTATCTTTGTATCCAGGTAGCACTTAGCACCTTGCCAGGCACACAGTAGGCACCTAACAAGTACCTCTAGAATGTGTTGATGGATTGGACTGGGGAGGAGGGGGGGGGGAGTGGAAATCTTGCTGAGAACAGCATGAGTCCAAATCCTGGCACTGCTCGGCAACAAAGACCATCTCCAGAATTAGGGTCATCGAGGTACAGCAGGAATTTGGAAGCGTGTCTTCAAAGACACATCAGGAGGATTGTTTCCGGAGCTGGCGAGGAGCCACCCAAGAGCCGCTTGCAGAGCGATCAGACTCGGCTCTGGCTTTTCGGCACGCCTGCAAGTCTCCTGCCCTGCCTGTCTAAGCCCAGTGCCTCCAGCCTTCCACCGGGTTTGAAGTGGGTTTCCACTCACACAATTTAGGCATGAGGTCCGACCTCCTAGTCTAACCCAGGCCTCCTCTCCGAGCCACGGTCGAAGGGAGGCCGCGCCGTCCTGGGCGCTTGGAAAAACACACGCGACTGCCCGGGACACCTCGGAAGGTGAAAGCGGGTAGCGGGCGGCGGCGGCGAGGAGCAAGGCGGGGAGCTCCAGCCCGGGGCGCTCTCCCGAGGTTTCTCGCCCCACTCCCAAAGCCTCGGCCCCCGCCGCTGGAAGGCTCGGGGGGGGGGGGGCGGGGGCGCACCCGCGCGCTCCGGCGGCGCAGGGCCGCCCTGGGTCGGGAGCGAGGGGAGGGCGGCGGGGGAGGCGGCGGGCGGCGAGAGGGGGCCCGGGCCGGTACCTGGTGTGGCTGCGGTTGCGGGGACAGTCCTTCTTCTCCATGATGGCCGGCACGCAGTTGGTGAGCTCCGTCCAGTCGGCGTGCAGCCCGCAGCTCCAGCCGGTGGAGAAGCGGGAGAAGAGCCACGTCTCCTTCTTGCCGGGCCGGTGGCAGGTGCACTTCTTCTGGCCCGCCTTGCAGCTACACGGCTGCTCCAGCCGGATGTTCTTCACCAGGTGGCGGCCGAACGTGGTGCCCCCGGTCTTCTGGATGTGCAGGAACACGATCACGTCGCGCCCTTTGATGTTGAAATCCACGAAGCGGGTCAGGTCCTTCAGGGTGAAGTTGAAGCGCGGCGCGAAGCGGGGCAGGGAGCCGTTCTCGGGGGCCTCGGAGTCCGGCTCCTCTTCCTCCTCCTCGGCGTCCTCCTCCGGCTCCCCGAGCTCCTCGTCCTCGTCCTCCGGCGCCGCGGCCCCGCGAGGGCCCTCGGGCGGCCCCCGGGGGGGCGGGGGCAGCTGGGGCCGCCGCTCCCCCGGCTCCGGCGGCGCCTGTGCCCGGCGGGCGGGACCCGGGGCGGCGGGCGGGCCGGCCTCGTCCGCGCGCGGCTGCTCCCCGAAGTTGGCGCAGGAGCTGGTGCAGGAGGGGGACACGTACTGGTACATGATGACCACGAAGAGGAGAGTGAGCACCGGCGTCAGCAGCCACTTGTTGAACCTTTCATCCATGGTCCCGCTCTCAGGCCGGCCGGCGAGGCGGCGGCGGCGGCGGCGGCGGCGGCGGCGGCGGGGACTGGCGCCCGCTCGGAAGTTTCGGGGACTCCGGGGCGCGGCTCGGAGCCCGCCGCTCCTCCATGCCCCTGACGCCGGCGCGTGCGGCTGGCTGGCGGCCCCGCGGCACTCCGGCACCCCGGGGCCGGCCGCGCCAGGGCCTGCGAGCCGAGCGGCGAGGCGGGCGCCGGCGCGCGCGGCTGCGGCTCCGGCTGCGGCTGCGGCTCCGGCTCCGGCTGCGGCTGCGGCGCGGGGCGCCCTGCGCTCCCGGGGGCGCCCGGCTTGGCCCGCTCCCGCTCCCGCTCCCGCTCCCGCTCCCGCTCCCGCCCCGGCGCGGCGCGCGCGCTCAGGCCACGCGGGGCATCCCGTCGCCGGCGCTCGGGCGCTCGGGCGCTGCGCGGCGCGGCGCGGGTCCTGCACCTGCGCGGGGCAGCCGGGCGGCCGCGGCCGCGAGCGCGGGGCGCTGCATGGGGCTCGCCGGGGCGCGGGCGCGGGCCAAGGGCGAAGGCGCGGCCCGGCCCCGCCGCGCCCGGAGCGCGCAGCCGGCGCCTTTGCCCTCGGGGCGCGGGGCGCGGGGCGCGGGAGCCGCGGGGGCAGCCGGCGCCCGCCGCAAGTTCGCAGAGGAGCCCCCGCGGCGGCTGCCCGCGAGGCGTCTGTGCGGAGCCGCCGCTGCGGGAAGAGTCGCGCTGCCGCTCCGGGTCGGTCCGCCCAGGCGCGGGCACGCAGGCACACTCGCACACACTGGCTGGCACCGCCACAACCCGCCAGCCGGTGTGACAGGAGCCCTGCTACCCGCAGCAAAAACCTGCCCTAGGTACGGAGCATGCGCCGAAGCCTTCCCCAGCCCCGGAGGAGTTTCCAGGGGAGGAGTCCGCTGCTCCGCGGGGCTCGGAGGAGGCAGCTGGGGGTGGGAGTCCCTTCGACCTCAGAGCGAGGAGATACTCGGGAGAGGCCCCGAGGAGAGCGTCGCCGGCACGGGTCCGAGACCCTAACATCCGCAGCCCCCGCTTTCCGCTTTCCGCTTTCCGCTTTCCGCGGATGCTCGCAGATCTGCGGCCTGTGTGCAGGGGTAGCACTGGCACACCGCGGGGCAGGCTCACCGAGGCTGGGCTGCCCTCGAGCTTGCTGGGGAAATTGGCTCCGGACTGCCTTCGACTCCCACCCACGACATTCTAACTGTTGCTCAAGTTTTATTCTGGACCCTCCTTAACTACAGACTTGGTGTGTCCAACTCTACAGTTTTATTCAGCCGGCATCCATCCATCAGTTATCCATTAGGCACCTGCTATCAGGCTCTTTGTTGAACATACATACGCTTCATTTCCTCCAGCACCAGAACAACCAACTCACCACCGTGCAGTACTCAGAATCTAAGAGGAGCTCAGGGGTCACCTCTGAAAATTCATCCCACTAGGGGCACCCGGGTGGCTCATTCGTAGAATCTCTGCCTTTGGCGCTGGCTCGGGGCGTGATCCTAGGGTCCTGGGATGGAGTCCCACATCAGGGTCCCTGCTTCTCCCCCTGCCTATGTCTCTGCCTGTGTGTGTGTGTGTGTGTGTGTGTGTGTGTGTGTGTGTGATGAATAAATAAATCTTTTTTAAAAAATCATCCCACTTTGACTTCCTAAATGTGCAAGACTCACCCCTCACCTGCCCCCCTACCCCACCACCACCACCACCACCATGTGGATGGTAAGATGTACACTTAGGTAGGTCTTTCACTGACTAAGTAAGCTTTTGCTTATATGCAGATTTTTAAGACTTTATTTTCCAAACGTCTCAATTTTGCATTTACCTGAGAATCAAATCGGTGTTTAACAACGGTTTCTGTTTTCCAGGTAATGAATGGATATGCCATCAAATGGGAGTAACTGCCCCTTCACAATCCCTATACTCGCTTCACCCACGTGGAGAGTGGCAGTGTGCTGAAGAGGGGAACAATGCAATTTGATCCCCTTGCTGGGGTCATCATGTCCTTTTGGACTACCCCACCAGTCCCAGTCCACCATGCATGGCATCCCATGCCTTTAGAGCAGCCATCCTTCCCACCTGACCTCTTTATGGATCTGTGTGGTACTTGTCTTTTCTTGAGACACTGTACCAATCTCTTCCATTTGTCAGACTCCCCTTCACAGCCATCGGTTAAGATCCAGATCTCTTTTAGGGATGCTAACTCTTTCCCATGGGAAGTTATTTTTATTGTTCTAGACAGGTGGGATTTTTCTCAACAAAGCTTCTCCGCCTCTGCTACCTTTCCTGTTTTCAACTCTATAAACAACCACAAACAGTGTCCTTCCTGATACTGTATGAGCTTATATTAGTAAAAAAAAAAAAAAAAAAGGTGTTGAGTGAGATGAATCAGCTTCTCTAAAGCTTACTTAATTCTATTTATTTTTCTCTCACTTAAAGTTTAAAATCCTATTAATGGCATCACACTACTCTCCAAAGCAAGAAACTGTGATAGGACAGAAAGCAAATAAAACTCAGCAATTACTTCCTGAATGCATCTGGTTAATGGTATTGCTTATTTTTAAAATATACACCTTTACCAAAGTAAAAAGTTTATTGTACTTTTTTATATTACTTTATTTGAGGAGTTGCTCATTTTCTATAAAGTTGTTTGATATCACATGGATAAGTATAACCTTGTTAGCTACCCAAATGTATAACCTGAGTGCTTCGGCAATTTATAGAGTGGAAGGCACTTTCTAGATGTTATCTCATTTGCTTCCCAGAACAACATTCTAAGGAGATAAGAGAAGTATAATATCCCATTTTAGAGATGAGGAGATGGAACCAAGGACAACCAGGAGAAAGCAGAGCCATGATTAGCAACCACTAACATCCCTGAAATACATTCAAATCACCATTGAAGAAACCCAATGAACATCAACAAAAGAGCCCACAATTTCCTCTCTCTCCTCCTGAGACCCTTTGAGTCAAGGCAGGAAGAAGCAATGGAATTGCAAAAGAACAATTAAATTTTTCTCTCTCCCTCTGGCTTTATCGGCAAAGCTGAGTGATCTCTACATCCTGCAGTATTTTGGCACCTAGTCTGTCAGTGTCCAAATAAACAGAGGAAAGACAATAACACTCTTAACATGATTATGTCATTGTTAAAAGACATTATTTAGGAGAATCTGAGAAGAAACTATGATGACAAACATATCACAGTTACATTACTAACAAAATGTATATTTCCATAAATAAATGCGTTGTAATCCTTTTCAAAGTACATTATCCCAGAAATCTGCTTTTGCTTTCAGTACAATAACTAATAGAGTGCACCATTTCCTCGAGGTAACCACAGTGAAAGCAATGCATAGAATCAAGCAATTACACAGACAATTCAAGCATGTACCCAAGTATTCATTTTTTTAAATATTTATTTGTTTTTATTTTAGAGACAGAGTGCAATGGGGGGATGAAGAGAGAGAGAGAGAGAATCCCAAACAGACTCCCCACTGAGCATAGAATCCGATGAGGGGCTCCATCCCAGGACCCTGAGATCATGACCTGAGCCAAAATCAAGAATTGGATGCTTAATTGACTGAGCCACCCCACCCCTGCCCCCAAGTATTCATTTTTTTTTAGATTTTTTTTTTTATTTATTCATGACAGACACAGAGAGAGAGAGTCAGAGACACAGGCAGAGGGAGGAGCAGGCTCCATGCAGGAAGCCCAACATGGGACTTGATCCTGGGTCTCCAAGGATCACGCCCTGGGCTGAAGGCAGCGCTAAACTGCTGAGCCACCAGGGCTGCCCAGTATTCATTTTTAATGAGAGGTAACATTGCTTGTGTAAACATGGTCTGTCCCAGGTGTGGTCTCCCTATTACCAAGTTGTGGAACTTGGTGTGAACCTAATCGAAGCTCTTAAATCATGCAATAAACAGGTTTCCTTATCTACAAGGGCAGACCTCACATTCAGGCAAAAATGAACAGAAACTTTGGAAAATTGAATGCTCTCCAGGTAAAAGGAAAAACATGTTTGCATTCAGCCTGCTATAGTTACTCCACGATGACACCAGCTGGCAATTGTTTCTGGCTAACAGATTGCAGCTACTATGAATCCTACACAAATTATTAAAATAATAAAAATAATGTTTTCAAAGAGCTTTCTTCCACTTCCTTTGCCAGTCTAGCAATAAGCTTAACACTATCTGTGAAGCAATTTGTTCACCTAATTTTATGCCTTAATAAGCTTTACTACAATTATTTTCTTGCCTGTTTCCTTCTACACTGTGACTTTAGTACTCTTCTTCCCAGTTCTCCTTGAATATTCTCAAAACCATTAACAACATTGCACTCCCCTAGGATTCAAACTTTTGATTAGAACGGTCCTCATTTAATCAAGTTCAATTGGGAGATAAAATTGCATCTCAACTTCTCCATTTTCCCTTTGGGGTAAGAAACTGCCTTGGAGAATGTTGAGGAAACCCTGGAGAGATTAACAATCCAAACAATCACAGAGACTAGTTTTGGACTCCCTACATTTGCACACAGGAATATATAGATACAAATGCCCTTCAATACAGATGAAAAACAAAATAGATTATGTAAGTCATTGGCAGCATGAATCTCTCCTTCAAGAACACAAAGTGCTCCTGTACAATGACATGACTTTTTTTTTCATCTTTGTAAACAACCCCCCCAAAAAAGGCCCACAGAGTAAGCAGTTTTGCAAATCACCAGCAAAGCAGTGGCTTTTTTCCCTGAGGAAGTTGAGAAGAGTTTGCACAGACAAAGCAAACTGCAGGAAAAAATAGTGTTATATACTGAGCATATTCCAGTTCACTACATGATTGTAACTTTGGGGCAACCATAACCCTACATACTGCTTCCCATAAAGTTCTATTTATATGAACAGTTCATTCTTTGCTTTATTGTATAACACTCTTTATCCACCATAGATAGCTGCCTATGTGATGGATGCACTCTATGCTACCTGTATGTATA